ATTATTATTATTATTATTATTATTATTATTATTATTATTATTATTATTATTATTATTATTATTATTATTAAATACTCTAGTGTGATTGTGTTGTAGTGTTTGGGGCACTGTGCTGGAGTAGCTTTCAAATTTCATTGTATTCGTGGAATGCAATGACAATAAAGGTATTCTCTCTATTCTCTATTTCCTTTAAGATTAGTGAACGGTCAAATCATTCTTCCTGGCATGATAAAATGTGTTTAAGTTGTTCTCGGTGTTGTGCTTCCCAGAACGGAACTTTAGTTGTGACAGTGACATTGTGTCAGAGGCATTCTCCTCCCATCCCTTCTCTGTCATGTATTGGATCTTTTGTGCAGATTTCAACATAATTGCATCCCTCAAATCAAATGAATCAAATTATATCTATGCGTTGCTTCTACCCAATCCCATGGGTAACAACTGCATGCAGAAAAGTGTACTCATGAGTGATAATTTTGTTGTGCATATTTTTCAGTGTGGGTTGTTAATGATATGGTATCTGTAGGATCATCTTCAAGAATTGTTTCGCCCCTTTTTGACACTGCAATTTCTGATTGGAAAATGCTAAAGCACTCAAGTGAATCAGGAATCAAGTGAAACAAGCATCATAAGAATCATAAACTTAATAATTTCTAAATAATTGAGAAGAAATGTGAGAAGTCTGCTGTTACTTTGCTCTCTTTGTCCCTTTAAAAAAAACAAAAACTAGTACTGACGTTTTGACAAGGTTAATAGGAAAAGGTATTTCATTGCATTTGAAAGAAATCTTTGCCTGGCTTAGTGACAACAAATGTATGTAAAATAAATCACTGTTTGAGCTTTTAATAAACTGGCCCTTTGCTTTGCTTCTTATCTTGTCAGATCAAGGCAATTGGTTTATTAATCATCATGGCTGACACCAAATAAGGCTTACTTCGGCCAACGGTCAGGGTATTTCATAACTTCAGAAGATTATATGAGACAAGTGGAGGGCAGCTCGGTGTTAAAAAAAAAACAGTTTTGCAAATCACAAGAGTTATGATTTCTCCTAGAGTTGTGGCTCATATGGTTGATGGAGACGATGTGTATTCCTTTTACTATTGAAAATGGTTATTTCAGATGAAGCTTTAGAGGAATCAAACTCTCGGTTGCCAGGAGGAGAAGTAGCTGGTTAATTTGCTTACAAACTTGTGTGCAGCCCTGCCAAACCGATTTACACGCTAAAAACAATAAAGCTTCAAATTAAACACAAAATGGATCACAATCTATCTCTGAAGCCAACCGTCAAAATAATAGCAATACTAATGATTGATTAAAATGGTAATTTAAAGCAGCAACTCAAATTAATCAGGCAACCAGTTTTAAAAGCTGTCTAAAACTGTACATTGGGGATACTAAATAAACTTCCCATGGAAGGGAGCTCCATAATGATGATGACCGTATCACTAAGGATGTATCGTTTCCACCACCAGGAACTCTCCAAGGCAAGATTAATTTCAAGCAGCTCAGTTATGGTCTAAATGAACTTTATAAATTAAATTGGAGAAATATTTGAGTATACTTTATCATTCCACTTTATTATCTGCTAATCAGAGCTCATTATAAGTATTGATAGATCTCTCAGGAAAGTCTGGGTGATGCTAGAAGATGCTGTAAATTACTTGAGAGGGAATACAGAAAAGATCAAATGCTAAAGGACAATGTAGGAGATGACCAGGCTGAGTCTGAGGGACGAGTCAAACATGTTACAAGTCCTGAGTCCCTGCACACCCACAAGATATCTAAACTCAGCCCACTCTGAATGCCTTCTTATTCCTGCTCGTTTCCCTTGACAGTAATTCAGATTTTTATAGAGAGCTTAAGCTTGCAATAAATCCTTATATTCATTTGAACTGCCTGAATCTCCTGATTTCCCCAGCACTTGACAAATGTTTCCCCAACTTTAAAAAGAGGAAGAAAAGAGGATCCAGTGAACCACAGAGCAGTCAGTGTAACCCTGGGAAAATTAATGAAAGTATCCTTCTGAAGACAGCTTGAAAAAAATGCAGTAATTACCAGAACCCAGCATAGATTTCCCAAGAAAAAAAATCTTGCTAACCTTTTTTATCTTGCTTTTTAATCACAGTTGTGAAAATGCTGTAAACATTTAGCACATACCATGTGATTTTTTTCTGATTTGGAAGCTTCTAAAATGTAGGCTGCAGTGCATGAAAAGGAAGAAGACACCCAGCCAGCTCAAATCACATTCAAAAAGAGAATTTTTCAACAATTCCTCATTAAACTGGAGTGGGGACGTAAAAACTTCAAACCTAGCTCTTGATAATTCAGATTTGCAAATGACACAAAATTGGATGTGGTAATCAAATATTGTTTATGTCTGTAATATTCATTACCATAGTAGATTAGAGACAGGGATTGAAAATAATTGATTGAAAATTAGCAAAAAATAACTACATTTGGAAAAAAGAAATCAAATGTGCTGGTATAATGTGGATGGGTAATTAGCTTGATAATAGCAGTGCGAAAGATATTGGAAAGGTGATTGCTTACAACAATTACTCAACAATGTAATAAAGCTGCAGAAGGTATGAAACCAATTTTAATTTACATCAACAGAAGTATACTTAAAGTGGAATTATATACTTTATTATCCGATAATCAGAGCCCATTATAAGTATTGATACTTTTTTTTTCAATGGTGTCTGGGTGCTACTAGAAGATGCTATAAATTTCTGATGAGGAAATAAACTCAGGAGGATTAGGATGCTCCCCTTCATCCACTTCAAATGATGTCACACAGAAGAAAGCTAAGCCTGTTCTCTGTCATTTGAGATAGTACGATAAATTCCCAGAGTGATAAATATTCAGAAAGTGGTTTTATAAACAACCACCAGGAGGTTCTTTGTTGTCAGTGAAGAAACTGCTGGTTCACAAAAAGGCAGTAAAAACAAATACGAAGGCAGTAGGGTTTGTCAGTGGGTTTTGGGATATATGGAACGTGCATAAAAACTAATTCAATTGCTGGAAATTTTGTAATCTCTTCCCTTTTTTCTTTAAAAAAATACATAGATTCATAGATTCTTCATAGATTCTTAGGAAATAGTGATTGGAGAAGGAATAACGGTTGGTATTAGGCAGAGATTTACTACTAAAGTATAGGACAGGAGGGAATAATTGATTTAAGTTGCAAGAAAGCAGGTTGTGATTGCATTTTAGAAAAATCTTCCATTAGTGAAAGCAGTTTATGGTCCAGGTTGTGGTTTTTGTTGTTTATTCACTTCCCTCATTCCCACTGTGCATTCAGCAAGTAACAGAATAACAGAATAAGTTTTTCTCCTAAATCATATGCAGCCAGAATACTGCACAATTTTCTGCAGCAAATCTCACTGCAAATTCTTTATAATTAACATTCACTGGAGGGTAACATGCAGCCATCACCCAACAATAAACTATTTCCAAACATATCTTCTACAACACTCTAGATACCATTAGTTCAAATTGTCTGACATGACAACCATAATTTTTTTCAACCATAATTAAATCTAAACTTTCACCACTACATGTGTTCTTATGAAGGGCATTTTACCAGATCAGGCCATCTTTATTCAAAGTTCTTACATCCCTTCCTCTCTGTCTTGGTTTCACAAATAAGCAGTATCCTTTTCTTCGTTTCAATTCGTTATTTTGCCTCTTAACGTTCCAAGACACCATCTGTTGTGCTGTAACCATGAATAATGGACTCATCATGGCTTTTGGCAACTGAGGTTTTCATATGACGAAGACAGAGAAAACCATTGAACCAAATGAAGACCATTTCTTGTTAGTGATGAGGGTCAGTGAGGGTTAGTTTTGGCACATTATAGCTAGCACACCACAAGCACAACAGAGCCCAATTTTACCACAAGCATGTTCACACTGTTCTATACAATCTAGAATCTCTAACCTAAAGACTCTTTGCAAGCTATACTGCTTCCTGCATGCCACAACTAGGAAATATATGTGCTCAAGATATAGCTTAGAATACAGGGTGTTATGATTATGTAGAAAGAGAATGAGAGCATCCCATACGGGATGTTTTTAATCTGGAAATTTAGCTGCTTAAAACTCTGAGCTTGAATTTGAAATTGAATTTCAGAAAGTAAACTTTAATATTTTGCTGTCTTTTTACTTTCAGGATCCAAAACTACGCGAACACCTGGATGTAGGAAATGCAGGAGGACGACTGGAAAATCGAATGCTTACAATTGTGTATGGCCCTGACCTGGTCAATATATCTTACTTGAATTTAGTAGCCGCTCAGGAAGAAATAGCAAAGGTATGGCAGTTCAGATTTTTTTCTTAAAATTGAAAAGATTTACTAATATTTGTTTTCAAATTGAATGTGATTCCAGCTAGAAATTATACGGATACAGTTTGGGGTCTGTTGTTATTATCTAGTTATATTTTGAAAAAAAATGTGTCAAGAACTACATAACATGGGTCTTAGCAGTTTTCTTTCTAAATACGTGTTATGTAAACTTTTGGGTTCCCAAGCCAGTTCTCAGTAATTTTATTTAGTTAAAAAAAAAAATTGTTCATAGACATCTTTTGTATCACTATGAAGCTATCTTTTTAAGGATCTGACCAGTTCCTTAAAACATACTATTTTTTATTTTGGAAATTGGAAAGCAAATTTTAAGTTTTATTAATATGTATGTGATATAGTATATCCTCAACTTACAACTAGTCAAAACTATGATCTATCTGGAAAAAAGCAGTTATCAAAGTTCTGACAGTCACTTCCCACCTCACCCACAGTCATATGATTGCGCTTCAGCTGCTTGGCAACACAGTAAACAAAATTCAAGAGGGATTGTTTCTGGGAACATAACAATTCTAGGCCGATAACTCATTTAACTCTGCCTCCCAATTCTGCCTGCTGTTCTCTTACAATTTGCCACCTTTAATACTGTCATATACTTTTTTTTGTGGTAGCCTGGAACAAGATATAACATAACCATTAGAGCATACTAGCTTTCCATTAACTACGCTGGGTGTGGGTAGTCACACACCACTTCCCCCAGTTTGTACAAGCTGGTGCACTAACGGTTTATTCTGGTTTGGCACTTAAAAGCAAAGTCAGATTGGCTAATTATCCAGGATTATCAATTGCTAGACATGATAATCCCAGACTATTTGAGACCACTGAAGAACATGGGGGTTGGGGTATGAACCATTTGATTTCTACTAGTATCTTATTGCTAAATCAAAATTAGCCTTGTGGCGCCTGAACATACTCTCTACATCTCACAGAAAAGAATCTATGGAGATTCTAAGTCATCAGAGTCATAGTTGTCCCAAAGATGCTTTTTCAAGAGGAAACTGGACTTTCTTATTTTTCTTTGAAGACGTTTTGCTTCTTATCCAAGAAGCTTCTTCAACTATGAATGGATGGTGGAGAATGGAAGGACTTATATTCCTTGCAGACAGCTGGTCATTTGCATTCTTTTAGAGAGTCTTTGATGTCATTTGGAGGTTCAGCTGTGTCCTCAGGGTCACCTGAGTAGTGCAAATGGCTGTGGAGACTTCTTGGAACTGCTGAAAGGAATTATAGATTGGAGATCCAGATCCTTTGTTGAGGGAGGGCTGTTCAATTTTGACTCCTCTTTCAAACCAGTGATCTTCTCTGTCCAAGCTGTGGCCAAGCTCTGTCAAAAGAGTGACCTTTGTTGTTTAAATGCAAATGGACTGCTGAATCTTATCCTGATGGGTTTGTTCTCCTATGTTGTGCTATGCATTTATGGAGTGGTTGTTTTGTTTCACCAATGTACAGATCTGCATATCTCAACTTCATTGTACTGCATATGCCACATTGCTCAGTTTGTGTCTGAGTGTTTTATCCTTGGGATGGACAAGTTTCTGCCTTAGTGTATTCTTGGGTTGAAAGTGTGCACATACAGTAGAACCTCAGGTGATGACCGTAATCCATTCCATGAATTCGATCATCACCCAAATTGGTCATGACTGGAAGCGCATGCTCATAAAAAAATGGTGGGGCATGGAAGGGGAGATCAGCGCAGAAGGGCAAATTGCCGTGGCTGTGTTTGGTCGCCACCTGAGTATTTGTTCGTGTCAGAGGTAAGAAAGTTACCCGATTTGGTCGTGAACGGAAGCGTTCATGACCAAAGGTTCTACTGTTTGTTGTGTTGGCTGAAGATTCAGGAATATCTGAAAATGTTCAGGGGAATCTCGGGGGGGGGGAGAGGTGTCTCATAGAAGAGAAACACTTCCTTTGCCTGCCTTGTTTACAAAGTCATTTCTCTCTCACTTTCCCTTGGAAATGTTATACAAGTGTGAGGCCTGATAAATGAAATTTGGTTCTTAGGGCATCACAGCTGATAGATAGATAGATGCCCTTCAATTGGCCTTGTTGTTCAACTGCCTCATTCAATAGGCTTTTAAAAAAGCTTATTGTTCTTGTTGGCCATTTTTTTTCTTTTATCATACCCTGTTGTAAATAATGAGGTTTGCACATGGAGAAGAGTTTGGAAATCACTTTGAGGAAATGATTAAAGCCATTCTTATATTTAGCTTCTGGAAGTTTGCCTCTTAATAATTGGCTGTGGAGAATAATTAGTTCCTGAGATTTCCATTTGCTGTTTGGTTGAGACAGTTCTGTTCTTTTTCTAAGGCTGAAGTAAAATTAATGGAAACTTTAACGATGAATGGCACCAAGCAATATTTTTTAGAACCAAGTTTCGTGCACTTTTCTGCTTTTGAAAAAAAAAAATGAACTGAATGTTACAGTTAAATCAGTTTGAAGATTGCACTTTTGTTATTTCTGGGAATGTGTGACTTGATTTTCTTTTTAGTTCAGTTTAGCTTTATTTACTGCTTTAGATCAACTGTTGACAGACCACACAATTTAAAAGAAAAGATTGGCGAATAAAAGACAGTAAGTTAAATAGTTAAAAGCATTTCAGAGTTCATGAGGACAAAATGTGGCTACCTTTCTATGTATTTCTGTAACATCAGCCAAACTTGGGAGATTTTTTTTCCATACTGGATTAGCTGGAATCGACAGTTTATTTGTGAGAAAGCTGATCAGCCTGAGTGCTGTGTAAAATAGGCAAGACAATAAGATCTACAAACTTGAGAGAGGTATTCTTTCTCTTGGGTTGGAAGGTTGTTCTGTCTTCTACTAATATGGATACTAATTATTCAACATTTCCAGGAGGAAAGGTTTTCAGTGCAGACTTCATGGGATATTGATTAAATATAAAGCTGGAATTAATTGTCTTCCAGCCAGACCACCCCTATACTTTTTATTTAGTAATTAAAGAAAACCAGTCAATAATTTCTTCCAAGAAAGAATGCAGATCACTATTGTTGCAATGTGCCAATTTCCTTTGAGATTACAGGAGAATACGAAGCATAGATGCAGGATTGCATGAATTATGATAAACCTCATAGAATGATGGAATTAACAACTTAAATGGAAGTTCAACAAGCATAGATTTGATTTGATTAGAACTAGAATAAACTGTCAGGTTCCAAGTAATGCAACCATTATAAAACGAACTTCGAGGCATTTAAATTCCTCAAAAGATAAGTTTATTAAGATATACCATTTTGGCACTAGCTAGTGGGAAGCCAGTATTGAAAGTTTCTTGACTTTCCACATCACTATAACTAGGATTTTCTCAATATTCCAAAACAATATGTCACATTATCCAAAGGATGTGAAACAGTTGTCTCGTGACTTTGCTCCTCCTTACTCTGGTCAGGCAGTCATTGGAAAGCGGCTGACTCATCCAGCTATGTTGTTTTGGCTGGAGCTCCATCCACCTCAACTCTCACCCCTTTCAGCTCCCAAGTGTGTCAAACTGAATTCATATGAATAACCCAGATATAAACCAATCCACCATCTAACCAAATTCAGGCTTGACATAAACTCTGTAATTGTTTCTATTTTGGCATTTTCCTCACTAATTAATTTTTCCCTTGGGTCAAAAATTTGTTTATGAGGAAACAACACTTTCAAAATACTGCAATGAGTATTCTTTGATTTTAGAGAAGTAATATAATGCATTCAGCTACAGTTCTCATAGCAAAAATTATTGTAGTCCTGTACTTAATTATATTTGTGTGATGGCATAACCAACAACCTAATTATAGCATTCCATCTGAAAGGAAACTTATTTTTGCTTCTTATATCTTATCCTTTAGGTATATGATGAAAAAAAATTGGTACTCTGAGTTCATAAAGTCTTGAAATCCCTCACAGCTTCATATTTGGATTGCTCTCTGTTTTTCTTTCTCTTTCTGTGCGTGTATGTGTGTGCGTGTGCGTGTGCATGCATATGTATGTATATATTTTCATTTTATTTATGTTTCACAACCAATCAAGATGAAGAAAAAAACATTCTGGCACAGCAGTAGGCTAGCCCCAAATTTAAAACAGAAACAGCTGTCTGACTCACAGACGAACACTATACAGAAACCTGATGATGGCAGATGAGATTCTGCCGTAACGTTGCTACAACTTTAAAAGCACAACTATAATGATGTGGGAAAATACCCGAACAAAGCTGAATACCATACATATAAATACCCGTGAAAACTTAAGAAAACACATATATATATACATATACATACATACATACATACATACATACATACATGAGTTGTATCACAGTAATAATATCTTTTGTTATTAAGATATTAATACTGAATATTTTATTATTATTATTATTATTATTATTATTATTATTATTATTATTATT